GGATTTATTATCTCGAAACTTTTGCTAGAGTTGCTAAAATGATTACTGTTTGATTTTTAATCATTAATGGATAACAAGGATTGAAAGATAGAATAATTCGATTTGAAGATGTCTTCCTATATGGTGATCTAGAGGAGGAAGTGTATATGGAGATCCCATAAGGATTTAACCCAAATATTTGATTAAAAGGTATGCGATCAAAAAGTAGGCATTTATATAGATTGAAGCAATCTCCAAGGGTATAGTTCGGAAGGCTTGCGAATGTCATGCTCTAAATAGGATACAAAAAAAATTCAATATCATATATTATCTGCGAAACACAACTTCAAGGGAGTGTTTTATATCAAGACTAATAGAAAAAATCTCCAATCAAATACTTCTGAGAAGACTTATTTACTTATGGCACACTAAACTTGGTATTATCTATGATGTTGTTTGTTAAGTATATTCATGTACAATCCTAAAGAATTATAGTTTAGGGTAGTGATGCGGATGAATTGAGTTTTTCAATATCTAAAATGAACTCAGTGTTAGTAAATTTTATCTAAAAAGGGGGAGGATTGAAGTTTGATCAATTGAAGTTATCCTGTTAGACTTTATCAATTTTAGAACCGAAACTAGTTGTCTAAGATGCTTAAAAGCAAATAATCTGTTGCAACAGTTCTGTACATCATTGATATTACTAAATCTTCATTATCTTTAAATGTGGTTATAGATAAAAGCTGAAGGAAATTTATTGTAGTCCTAAAAGACCTTGAAACAAGAGGTGTTTTTTCTTTTGATTCATTATTGTGGCTTCAAAAATTTGTGCCTTGGGCTCTATTGAGAAAATTTTGTGATATTTTTGCATCAAATTTTTATAAGGCAGATTATATTGCAGATAAAGTACTATAAAAAAATTTCTCTCTTATTTTGTAAGAAGTTAAAGATCTGATTTCAGGTTTCTCATAATATAAGTCCTTGTGCTTAGTTACCCATCCCAATGATGAGAGGAATTTTCGGATAAGGTTGGTATTTAGATTAATGTTAAGTGCTTAGCATATAATAATAGTGAATTTTAATTTTTGAGAGTGAAAATTTATCATCTTTATGTTAAAGTGGATTGTAAGGGAAATGATGAAAAACCTGATCAAAATTTTATGATTTCATCATCCTAGGTTATCATGGACTGTGGTTTACTTAATCAGAGGAAATAATTTACCCAATATGAAGTATACTTATAGATTAAAATGGGTTGTGTCGTTCAAAAGAACATTATAGATAAGAGGTTTTTGTTTGTCTAAGGTGATAATTTAAGTAGATCTTAGCAAACAAAGATTTTTGTACCCTATCAAGTGGATTTATAATTCACATCTCTAGAATTTGAAGCCATTGGGGAACTTGTGTGCTTTTGCATGTAACTATAATTTAATGACGTTATTTTATAGCGAAGTTAGCTAGCTGGAAGGCCTTGATCATAACAGTGATGTCATTTGTCAACAAAACTATCAGTTAGAGGGTATGTGCCACATCTTTATTGGTGAAAGATCATTTGAGAATGAACATATTGATATGCTTGACAAGATATGGACTCTTTGCATGCTAATGTTATTTTTAAATTTATCAACCTCAACAAATGGTTGTATGTGGTAGATGAATTATTACTTTTGGTTTTGAGGTGGTAGATTTCACTTCAATATGTTGTATCATGTGAGTTTTTTATTTTATTTTTTGCATTTTTGTATTTCTCCTTGAATTTGAACCCAAATTGATTTGCTTAAGAATTTTAGGGAATATCAAAAAATATTCCCCTTCAGTTGAAAATATGTCAACATAGTCATCATTGAAGTATTTGAATGATTTTATTTTATTATTTGAACCTTGTCAAGTTTTTCTTATTGCAAACAAAGAATTAGATTCGAGGATTAACTCTGTGAACTATTATATGAATAGTAAATCTTAGATTTTATGTTTTATAATGAATTTTCTTCGAAGTCATTGAAAGTCTAATGTGAATGTAGAATAAAATGTGTTAATGGATTTTATAGTTGTATGGTCATTCGTGAAAATAGGATTTATGGTAAATTATTTGAAACTTACTATTTAGACATCTCTCATGAGGTTCAAGTCTCCTCAACTCTAGTAATTACAAGGAGAATTGGATTTGAAATGTATAACTTATGACTTTGTTCCACGAGTAGAGTGGCCTGCTTGAGAGCATCATATATTTATGTTGGTGAATCTAATTTTTTGAGTGAGAGGGTTTGAAAATTTTGAAAATGATTGCAATTTTTTTAAGAATAATATCATGATTTTTGGACTGGAGTAAATTTGTATTTAACTTATTTTTAGTCCATGCAGTATTCATAGTCATTAAATATGAGCATTTATCATGTTCATCTAAGCACAAGTGGATGAGTTTTATTTCGAAAAGGGAATTTGCTAATTTAAAACTGATTACAAGCTTTACATAGTGATTGCACGCCCTTTGGAGTGAGAGAAAATTGGATTCTTTTTCAACCCGCTTACTATTTTGATTTCCAAGTTTGGATATTATCATATTTATTATGCACATGCTGATATTTGCATAATTCATGGTTCACTCACTAATGCACTTGATACACTTATGTCATGCACTTTGATAATTCTATAGTGTGGTTGCACGCTCATGAATATATTTGCTTATTTTTATGTGTTGCACCTCTTAGTACATTTGCACTATACATTTGGAGAATATTTAGATAATTATTTTTTACGATTTGATGAGTCATACACACTATCAAAATAGTCACATGTCCTGTGACGCGCAATAGTGTACTACTTTGTATCATTTGAAAACCTTTCTTTCACAACATACACTGTTTGTTCATGTGACGAACTATTTATTCATGATGTGCATATGAATTGTTTTTCTTTTATTTAAAAAAGAAAAAAAAAGAGGTGCGTATGAGTTCCTTAATATACATGTCTTGTAGGGTACTTGTGCAATTGGTGATATGCAACAGGTTGTACCATTCTATTTTATTTGAATGCCATTCTCGTGAACATAATTATTTGAGATGTATATGGGTTTGACGTAGTAGTTGTTCATGTGAATGCGTTACCTTTGCATTGTGCACGTGACTTTGTATTTTGAATTTATTAATGCTCGTATTTTGTTTGCTTGTATGTGTTACAGATCCATTTGCAAGTGTCACAAGTTGAAATTGAAATCCTTTACGTGTTTTCAAAGTGACGTGACTTATCTGTATATAACTTGTATTCTACTTGCGTGGGCTCCACATGGAGTTGCGCTTGTATCTATAAATGAGGGCTCATTATGGTTCATTTTCATTCTAAGTTCAACACATAAAATGTGTTTTGGAGGATCTTGAGTGTTCATGAGAGTTCTTAATAATAATAAAGAGGTTTCGTGCTTGCAAGCGAGCTCCCAAGTTCATTATGTGTCCTTTTACTCAATGATGAAATTTCAAAATTCATCATTAGTCCTTCATAAGTTCTATTTCAGTTTAGTATTTGGAACAATTATGGTCATTTTAATTCATTTCAGTAGATGTGTGTTTCATTTTAGGTGCTTAATATTTTATTTTTGTAAGAAAATTGTATTTTCATTTTTGGTCGTGTTATTAAGTCTAAAAAGTTATTTTAGTTTTATTCTTTGCAAGTCACTTCATTAAAAAGTTTAATAGTCTCCTGGTGTCTCCCCATGTAGGGGGCATCTATGAGGAGTCTAGGATTGACTATCACGTCAAGAAAGGCGTGCATTCTCAGTGTCACATGACATCATGCTCGGGAGGTCTTCTACCTTGTCGCATCATTAGTCTTCGTGTACCTGTTTGAAATATGTAATATTTTCTTGCAACATTGGAACAACGCACATGAGTACTTAAATTCTGTATTTCACGTCATGCAAATAAAAGAATGCAAAAGACTTGCTTGTTGCATCACAAACATTGTCAACAAGTTTCCACTGTGGGGCTGGGAAAACACACACAGGTTTTGTTTTTAACACCAAAATGCGTCGCATATGTGACTTAAGAGTTTTGAGAGTTTGTGGTTTTATAACTTTAATGGCGACAACAATTGGAAGATGCAAATTGACAAGGTATATTTAAAATATATTTCTCTTTATTTCTTTTTTTCTTTCCTTTTCTTTTTTTCCTCTTATTTCTTCTTTTTGTAGAGAAAAAAACAAGAGAGTGATAAAGAGAAAAAGTGAAAAGAGAGAAAGAGCTAGGGATAGAAAGGGCGGTGGAGAGAATTAAAGAGAAGAGTAGAGAGAGAGAGAGAGAGAGAGAGAGAGAGAGAGAGAGAGTTTGAATAGTAAAAGGAGAAGAGGTCCGAGGAGGTAGATGGAGAGAAAGATAGCCGATGCATATGCCGGTGGAGAACGTGGTGGCTACATGGCATCTGGGTTCAAGTGGGATTTACAACAAATTTACAAATCTTTCAAACTCTTTTCTCCTTTACTAGTTGTTTGTTCATTTGTGCCTTACCATACAAACTCCCAGTTGTGACTTCCTTCATTGTAATTGAGTGCTTGTGGGTACGAGTGGTAGGAGGAGAAGAAAATGGGCGAACATGGATCGGGTGTAGGCAGCAGGTTACACAATGGCTTGTGATCATGTACTGGTGCTCGAATGCAAGTGGCATAGTGGGAGATGATCTTGAGAGAAGCATGCTTGAAGTGAGTTGTGCGAGATTTAGAGAACGAAGTGGGAGATTTAGAGGCAATAGGTGCAGGATGCAAATGCCAGAGAGGAAGAGTGTGGGAGAAAAAAAGTAGTATTTCATTTTGAAATGTCAGTCCTTCACACTCAGTTATTTCTTTGTTAAAATTTAAACATAGATCAAACTTGATGGTTTGTTTTTTCTTTTTTTACAGATGTTTTATCTCTAGTATTGCATTTTAAATTTTCTACTATTTCCTTTCATGGCTTCAATTATATAATTTTCTAAGTCCAGAGGAATATATTGAATCATATTGTGTTACTAAAGTAGGCCTTTTCCTACTGTACCAGCATTTGGAGATCATGATTTGGTGCATTCAGCATGATTTCCTTGAGAATGTGCAGTCGTGCTATCCTGACTATCAATCATGGGCATCACATGCTCAGGAAAGGAAGTCAGCAGCTATTAAGCAATCCTGGCCTGATAGTTCAAGTTATTTGGCATATTATGGTGATCGATCTGAGCCTGCATTATTTATTGAGCAGGCATTGTCCAATCTTGAAATAGAAGAATGCTTCGGAGATAAGCATGATGAAATAGATGTGTTTTGCTTGCAGGACACAAATTCTCCCGTAATGTTTTCATCTAAAATTAATGAGTCTTACAGGAATCATGCATCAGCGTGTTACCCTTTTAAACAAGCACGAGCTGCTGTGGATGCTATATTTTTACACGGAGCTTCTGATATGGTGATTGCAAAAAGAGCTATAGTATCCTTGAGAGTTTGAACTTTCTTATTGTTATACTCTATTATTAAAAAATTAATTTTTTTATTTTTATTTTTTATTATTTATTATCCTTGACATTCTTGTAGTTCTTATATTATTTATTTGACCGGCATTGGACTTTACCAGATGCAGAATGGAGGTATGTAGTTGATGATTTTGCCTCGTCATTTGGTATAGGCAGACTTCAACTACTGGAATCTTTGATGTTTTATCTTCTCGATGATCACACGGATCAGGCCTTGCAGGTAATCTTTTCATGTCATGTTCATTTGTTTGTTTATTAATCCACTAGTATTTAAAATCTAGAATTTAGTATTGTTTTGCAAATTTAGATGAACGATGTAGGCATGGATGATATATATGGCAAAGTAGAGGCGGAACTTGGAAGGGAGTTGAGCTACCATGCTCAAGAAATATTTTATTTGAAGTGCCATGATTTTGAATTTGCTTATAGAGCATTCAGAAGAAATGTCTGACAAATCTTCCTGATGTAGATGGAAAAATTTCTTTTGATTGAAAGAAATATATTTTTTAATCATTTATATATATATATATATAATTTTTACATATTCACTAACTTCTATTGAGTACATTTTCTGTATTAGAAAAAGCCAAAAAATAGTCCCTTAGCTATTTATATGCGGCCAACTTAGTATTAGAGAATTATATTTCTTCAATATTTAGTCTTTTGACTATAAACTACTGATTCCAAATGATCCTTTATATTGAAATCGACGGAAATTGGGATCCGAAATTGATCATAATTAAGTATCTTGAATATTTAATACATGATCCTAATGTTCTCAAAATCAATTTGGATTCATGCTAAGTAGATCTACTATGAAAGCTATACATTTATTAAGAGGCTTGATGGAGAAGTATAGAGAGAATAAGGAGGACATGCATATTATTTATTGATTTAGAGAAAGCATATGATAAAGCTCAAAGAGAAGTGCTATTTAGAGTTCTAGAAAAAAAAAAAGAAATTAATAATGCTTATATTAAAGTCATTAAGGATATGTATATAAGAGCTGTTACTTGTTCAAATACGAGGTGGTTTTACCAAGTATTTTCCTATTTTAGTTGGATTTTACATGAAGGATCAGCCTTAAGCCGATATATTTTTGCTTTAGTCATGGATGTTTTTACTAGACCTTTGCAAGAGTTTGTACCCTTGTGTATGCTTTTTGTTGATGATATTCTTCTTGTTGATAAGAGTAAAGAGGGAGTTGAAGGTAAACTTAAATTATTAAGGTCAACCTTAGAGTCTAAAGATTTTCATTTGAGTAGATCTAAAATTGAAGAGATGGAGTGTAATTTTAGTAGTAAGAGATCTAGTGGGGGATTGTGACTTTGGGCAATCAGTCATTAATAAGAGTATACATTTAAATATCTTGGGTATATTGTTCAGGGTGATGGTAAAATAGATTGAGATATTATTAGTAGAATTCAAGTTGGATGGTTAAAGTGAAGGAATGTATCAGGCTTGTTGTGTAATAGAAGATTCTCCCTCAAACTTAATGAAAAATTCTGTAAGATGGTGGTGAGACCTACAATGCTTTATAGCTCAAAATTTTGGCCATTAAAAGAGAAGCATAATATTTAGTTAAGTGTTGCAGAGATGAGGATGCTCAGATGGATAAGTGGCTTTACTGTTAGAGTCCGGATACGAAGCGAGCATATACGTGAAAAGGTTGGAGTAGTTCCAGTGGAAGATAATATTAGAGAGAGTCACCTTAGATGCTTTGGTCACATAAAACAACGACCTTCCGATCCGGGGTAGGAGAGTAGATATATTAGATTTGACTTATGTTAAGAAATGTAGAGGCAGACCTAAAAATACTTGGTTAGAAAATATTGAAAGTAACCTTCCTTTTTTAGATTTAAATGAGAAATTGACCATTAAAAGGACACAAGAACAACAACATGAAGCCTTCATCCCACTACGTAGGGTCGGCTACATGAATCCTTTTTATCCATTGTCCTGTTAAAAGTCAAATTCTCATTTAAATCTAATAAAGAAAGATCATTTCTAATAAAGAAAGACCATTAATAGGACATAATGGATAAAAATGATTCCTGTAGCCGATCCCATGTTTTGGGATAAAGGCTTGATGTTGTTGTTGTTAGTCATGTGGGGTCATTTGGGATAAATTTTGCATATTGTAGGGATTTAATTCGATAAATATGATACTCTGTTACTAAAATGGCTACATATGAATGCCCAGGTGGCTTTTGGGGTTTTCTTTTTTTGTGCTACTTGTTATGCTGTTGAACAATGTAGTTCCTTTACATTCCCTTTTGTAGGGTTTAAACGTTAATATTGTAGGAGCAAAATTGTAAGAAAATCATTAAGATAAAAATTTGAGAACTTGGATTATATTTTTTATTTTAATGGGAATTAAAGAGATATGTTAACTTACACTCTATTGAAATTGTAAGAAAATCATTCAGTGTAGAAATTTAAGAACTTCGATAATATTTCCTGTTTTTAGTGGGAATTAGAGGGGTATGGTAACTTACCCTCATATTGAAATTACTAGAAATTGGGATAGGAAATTGATCCCAATTAAGTCTCTTGACTACATAAAATTTATTCCTATTTAGCTCAAAGAGATTATTTGGGATATGTTTTGCATAGTCAAGGGATTTAATTGGAGTATTGTGGTACTCTGAAACTAAAATGGTTACATATGCCCAGGGTCTTCTTTGAGATTTTTCATTTTTTCCCAGCTTGTTATGCTATTGATCAAGGTAGTTCATTTCAATTCTTATGCTTGTTTCCCTTTTGTAGGGTTAAATATTAATTTTTTGTTAAATAAAACTGAAAGAAAATCATTAAGAGTAGAAATTTAAGAACTTAGACAATGCTTCCTATTTTTATTGGATATTTTAACTTACGCTCTATATTTAAGATCTTTTAAAAATTTTAATTTATTTTTAAAAACAACTAAAATGTGAAAAAATGTGTTTTCTTGCCAAATTATTTTATTTTTAAAAATGCCTATACCCGTGACTACCGCCGCTCAAATTCTGTTTATATTTCGTACCGGGTTGGGTGATGATCTACGCAACGAACTATTAGCCCAGAGTGTCACTACACTAGAGAGTGCTTACAGTCTATTAATAAACCTTGAGGAAACCCGTTCCCAGCACCCTAGTCAACACCAAGATGCTAAACCTTCCTACAGACCCTCCTGTGGATTGGCCCCATACTACTCTGTTACACGGCCGACTCCAGAGAGCTTTAGCAGACCACCCTCTGGTCATCCGCCCCTTCTTGACTTTATGGGAAAGTCTCCAACCTCACACACCTCGTTCCCAACCAAGGACCAATTTCTTATGGTGTCAAGGGTATGGGTACATCTCTTCCCAGTGTTCTAGTCCTTACAAAGTCACTATTATTGAAGAAGTCACTGAGGATGAGTTTGAGCCCGAGGCTGAACAAATTCACCAGTTCGATGCTGAAGGTGAATTCTTTGAGGACGATGACACTGTTGTCGTCCACTGTTTATAAAAGGCCAACACCTCTCCCATTTGTGTGGTGAGATGTATACTGTCACACTCTGTTACCATAATGACTGGCGTAGGACCTCGATCATTCACACCTACGCCAAAATAAATGATAAGGACTGTAAAGTCATTGTGGATAGTGGCAGTTGCATCAATACTGTCTCCTACAACATAGTATCTAGATTTAGTTTGTCTACCGTTCCTCACTCTAATCCCTACAAGGTAGCTTAGGTCAACTCCGCTGTCTTAGAGGTGAAGGAGCGAAGCCTTATACCCATCTCCTTTGCTGACTATAAGGAGATTGTGTGGTGTGATGTTCTGATAATGGATGTGGGATAAATTATTATAGGGCGTCCATGGCTCTTTGATAATGATGTCTACATCTATGGGTGTTCGAACATCTGTGTGTTTGAATATACGGACAATAAGATCAAGTTATCGCCTACGCAGCCCAGTGTTAGAGATGACCCCAAACCCAATCCAGTTAAGCCCAAGGGCTGAACCTTGTGACAGCCAATGTCATGGATTCTGAAATAGCACAAGGCGCACCTCTGTACGCCTTTGTTGGCCGAGAGACTTCTTCTGACTCTGATGAGCATATTCCTCAAGAGGTCCAGTCCATACTGAGTGACTTTGCTGATGTCTTCCCTGATGATCCCCTGATCAACTATCTCCACTAAGAGACATTCAGCATGCTATTGACCTTGTCCCTGCAGTCTCTCTTCCCAACCTGCCACAATATCGCATTAACCTTACGGAACATGCTGAACTTAAGAAACATGTGGATAAATTATTGCAACGGGGATACATAAAAGAAAGCTTCAGCCCCTCTGCTGTACCCGCCCTTCTTACACCAAAGAAGGATGATACTTGGAAAATGTATGTTAATAGTCATTCCATTAACAAAATTACTATTAAATATCATTTTCCCATGCAAAGGTTAGACGATATGCTTGACATGAAGATAGGAGCCACCCTTTTCTCCAAGATTGACCTTAAGAATGGGTACCACTAGATCCGTATCTGACCTGGTGATGAGTGGAAGATTGCCTTTAAGTCCAAGGATGGTATGTATGAGTGAATGGTTATGCCTTTCGGGTTGAGTAATGCTTCGAGCACGTTTATGAGAATTATGACCCAAGTGCTGTCCTTTTGTGGGTAGGTTTGTCGTTGTCTACTTCAATGACATTTTTATCTATAACATGCCCGTGAGCCAGCAGTTAGATCACTTGAGGCAGGTTTGTGGGGTCTTAAGGAATAAGCAGTTTTATGCCAATCCTAAGAATGCACCTTCCTTGTTGACTGTGTAATTTTTTTGGGCTTTATTTTGTCAACCCAAGGGGTCTCTGCAGATCCCGAGAAAGTGAGGGCCATACTTAATTGGTCCGTTCCTAAGAACATCCAGGAAATCCGCAGCTTCCATGGCTTAGTCATCTTCTATAAGAGATTCAGTAAAAACTTCAGCACGATTGTCTCTCATATCATTGATTGCCTAAAGAAAGGGGACTTTCACTAGACCCCGGCTGCCACCAGAGCTTTTGAGGAGATAAATAAAAGAATGGTAGAAGCCCCAAAGATGAGACTTCCTTACTTCTCCAAGGTCTTCGAAGTTACCTTCGATGCTTCAGGGGTTGGAATTGGAGTGCTGTCCCAGGAAGGTCACCCTGCTGCCTACTTCAGTGAAATGTTAAATGGCATTCGACAGCGCTATTTCATGTATGACAAAGAGTTC